GCTATACATCAGATAAAATATTTATGCAATTTTTATAAAGAAAACTGCTCTTATATGTAAATTTCTCTTGAACCTGTGAGAATACTGTCAATATGTAATGATTGTTCCTCTTCACACATCCCATATATAAACCCTAAGAAATTCTAACAGGATCCAATGTTAATTTCCCTACGTCATCACTCAACTCTACTCAACACGATCTTGCTTTATTTTCTTTCCATTTATGAATTGCTACTTCAATATTTCTCCCGTTGTTTTACTTTATTAATTTGGACTTCATTCTACTATAATCGGAATTACTTCTAACTTATTTTTATTGAATTTTGTTATTCGAACAACAATAAAGGATAACTGCTATACTCCTCGAACACATAATAAATCAGTATTCAGTAAGTCATTCTTTCAAAAACATAACCGCTTTATTACTAACAAGAACAGTAATCCTCATCTTCTTATTCTCTTCATTTTGTCACGACACAAGCTCATCAGTTGGGAACTTATCAACATTATGTAGGAAATTTTCCGTTTCAATCCATTGAGATGCGTCAAATATCTCCTTTTATTTTCTTGCTACTGCTATAAATCGAATAAACCAAACTTTCATTTCATACGAATTGTCGATTCGCCAAATTTCGAATGCAATATTGGCACCGAAACCAATTAATGGAGATTTGCCCAAAATAGAATATATATCGTTGAATGTGGACAATAGTGCAGCAATTGTCACGTCATGCTGAAAAGAGAACCTTCAATTACAGAACATTTTTAAATTCATTGTAAAGCACTCAATATTTGAAAGTACCTAATGATTTTCTCTAAAATGTTAAAAGAGAATTTCTTTCCCATAAAGCATAAATTTTCCTTTCTGTTTTGCAAGCTGAATCCTTGCCGAGAAAAAATCGTTTAAAAAAACTTCCCGCTGATAGTCCATAAAACCGTTCTTCACAAGCATCAACTGGTGTCCATTTAAAATAATTCACTTTGCATGCGATTCGGCTAACAATACCACGAAGAGAACTTCCACCTTTAAAAGCAAATTTTAGAATATCGAAACCTTCTGTAAACTTCAATAGTACATGAATGATTTTGTGTAAGAATGAGGAACAAAATAGAAATCAATTGGTACCAAAGACAATATAGGCCTGCAAGCATTACTTTATAATCAGAAATAACAATAATCTTCTATCTTATTAATGGAAGTCCTTTACAGAACCATAATGTAAATTTGCGAGACTATCCAAGCTTCAATTAGGAAAATTTAATTTCAAATTGAATTGCGTACCTCGAATTTTTCTCTGCAATTCATTACTATACGGTCCCATACCAAATTGTACTTCAATGCCACGCCAACTCAAAAATTTCAAATTTTCATATAGCTCTTTACTCTTCAACCAGTCCGGTAATACTAAATCATGTGTTTTCTGGAAAATTTTAGCTCTTTCCAGTTATAATAATTAAAAATTTGTGTTATAAGCCAAATAGATCTTCACAATAAGAAAACCAATACATTGATTGATCGTAGAGGTAAGTTTTAAGTTTGAGTGCAGAAGAAAATAAATGCCATAGTACATTAAAATGTTACATGTGTCTCATTGCCTTTAAATTTTAATAAAATCCATAATGTTGATTATCCATTACCCAATCATATATGAAGTACAAGCTAAAGTATTGATAAATCAATGAATCCAGACTAAGCGATGATGTAAATGATGATGATAGACCATGAAGTGTAAATTACAAAATTAATTTCATAGATTGAATAAAGTCATTCACAGATGAAGAACAGGAAAATTCGTTTACCAAACAATTGAGAGTATCGAATAAAGCATATGGTTCATTGTCATAGTTCAATTTTTGTTGCATTAATTCGTATACTTCCTAAAATTTGTCAACTTATGGCAGGAATGGTTTAAAATTCAAAAACCAAAAATTTATTTTCGATACGGTGGCAATATTTCAGACGATTGACGATAGTGTATCAATTTTAAAGAAATAAATAATCCAAATTTGAAATTTGTTTATGAACTCACGCTGAAGTTTTCCCGCAGAAAATAATCTTCCTTGTGATCTAGGACAAACTGATTTGCAACAGGACAATCAAAAAATGGATTACCAGCCTGGAATGATAGTAATAATATAGGAATGGTAGCGTAAAAAATTAATTTCCATAAAGAGTACCGTATCAACATTGGTCGCTGATTCTACATTAATTCTTGTATGAGGAAAGGACATTCCTTCTAGAACATATTTCGCAGTTTCGATGGTACGAGAGACATTCGTACTACGGATATAAATCTGTAAATAATGTTTTGATTGTTTGAAACTATCTCACTGAATGATTTGTTATTGATCATTGGGCAGCTCTCATCAGAAGTTTTCCGCAATCTCTGGGGAGCGCAATGTGTAAGGCGTAAACTGTTGACGGATTACCGGATTTTGAGAAAACCTCTGCAAATTCATGCCAGTCGTTCAATATTTCAGTACAATGCAGATCTTAAAACATGGACCGTACCTGTTTTGATGTGATGTTTCTTGAATGAATGTAACGACGCTGTAACAATAGGCCCAAATATTTAGCTTGTTCGGCACCTATCTGTATATAAGGAATTCAAATTTTAACTTTCTCACCATTTCGGGATAAATGTGAATCAGAAAAAATAATCTTAATCAAAATTGTTGTGGAAATTTTGACTGCCAAAGTTTACCTTTGTTAAATATCCGATACCTCGTGGAAAGGCTACCATATATTTTTCGGTGAAATTTGGAAAATAATGAACAGGTGCTCGATCACCATGTCGCCAGATCTGTAATCGATGAGTGAAAAACACCGATTTCAGGCTCTACAGCTCAATTTTTTTAGGTTATTGATGTAATTGACAATTATTTTAAATTTAATCAAAAATATTTAAACATTTTGGGAATTTTAAAAAACCTTAACAATATTGGGAAAACAATTCAGAAAGATGGAATAGTTTGGTAAGATTGTCGCGAATTTTTATTCGCGAGACTCCAACCATACAAATATATAATCAAATAAATTTCCCGTTGTAAATCATCTAACCAATTTACATTGTTTAAAATAATCTCCCAAATGTTTCTTTTGTTCCCTTTGTCTAACGCAAATTCACATCTTTAATTTAATGACAAAGAATGTCC